TTTTTTTTTTTTTTTTTTTTTTTGGATTTGGAGATTCAAATATTTGGTGTTGTAGTAGGACGGGCTCCTCTCCGATAATGATCTCCTCCCGTTGCTTCATTATAGGTTTAGATGCTCGACAGCTTTGCTAAATCATCTAAGTGGTTATGGTAATTAAAGTTGGGCCTCTACATGATTTCTTTTAATATAGAGGAATAGTGGCTATTAACTTTCTATAGCTGCCATATACATAATTACTTCCTATAGTTACCATTTTGTTGTTATACAACTGTATTTGTTGTATTCGCGCTACTGTATTCATGAATACAGTAGCGAAATTCGCTTAAAATTTCCTTTAATATACAATTGTCGCCCATTTAATCCTGTAATAGAAGAACCGGAGGGAATTGTTTTTGGAGAGAAGACCCATCCGTGTAGCAATGGGAATTTCGGCAGGAATACTGCTAGTAATATCGATCTCAAAAGTAGAGGAGAATTACTTGATTTTTTTCTTCTTTTTTTTTTCTTTTTTTTTTTTTTTTTTTTTTTTTTTTTTTTTTTTTTTTTTTTTTTTTTTGTGGTGACAATGGCATTCCAGTCAATATTCACGCGTCCAAGGGGAACAATTTTTTTTATGACAGTAGTATTTGAGTTAATTTGTGCGCATCTTGGTTATTTTTTCAAGTACATGATTTCATTAGGTAATTTCGTTAGGTAATTCCGTGCACTGAGGCTTGGGCAGATAAAAAAATCATCTAATATTTTTTTTTTTATTTTGGAATTTGAATCTTAATATTCAACATTTGCACTTCTACTTCGTCGATCAATAAGCCATATCTTTGTGTGACTTTTCGGTTGTGTGGTTTTCATAATTAATCCATTATAATCAGTAATTTGAAGAATATTTTCATAGTTGTATAGGTTCAAATTTGGTAACTACGATAACAAATAAGCAAGACAAAGGACGGGGTCGACCACGATACAACGACTGAAGGTCGTCCTCATAAAGGCCGACGCCAGAAGCGAACAACTGAGATAGGATAGTAACTGTAACTTAGGTTCAGAAGTGGACATAAAGAATATTCCTTTGGATATTCTTTATGCTGTACTTTTTAGGATTTTTTGGGAATATCCCTTATAAATAGGAAGAGATATGGAACAAAAAGAGGATCTGCCTTTTCTGAACTGGAATATATTGTAAAAGTTGAAAGAAGAATAGACGAAAGAGTTATCTTATTCATTTATTCAAGCACACGTTGTTCAATCTTTATCCATAAATCTCAAGACCCCATATGCATTTTGGACCTCTCGCTTTTCCACGTCGCAGTCAGAGAAAAGGAACATCCCAATCATATAATCATTGGGTGATAGTTCCTTTCCCATTATAATCCTTGTCATTTCTTACATTTATTATACATTTATGCTATTACATGTATCGTCAATCATAGCATATTAAGTTCACTGTTTAATGCTCCTGAATTCTATTTGTTATACAAGAGCTTTATTTTATTCGGTCTAGAATTTATTAAGCTCAACTAAGATTCGCCCTTTTAACTTATCATTAATTGGTTTAGCATTTATTTGCTCAAACAATTTGGCGCCGTCTATGGGGAGTTTTAGTTGAAACTATAATTCTTTCTAGATCATAAAAAAACAACCATCTCTCCTTCTTTTGCACAAACTAACAATGGCAGAAAAAGGAGATGCAAGACTGAAAGCGATAGCAGGCATCATTGCCAATATTTTGAACACCATCAACGAAGATGGTAGGGAAAACAACGAGAATGTGACACCAAACGCTATGCCCAGGCGAAGTACTTCACATCCCCCTCACGAAAGCGGGACAACTTCACGCGAAAGGGGAGCCTCCACGTCTACAGTTAAAGAAGCACCACTAGCAGTGAAAAGATTACTAGAAGAGTGGATGACAAGCACTCTAAATAATATACTCGATAGACCTGCTCAAAGGGAGAACAGAAATACCGCGCAAGCAGATATCATAACAACCACTAGCGAGCAGCCCATTCCTAAAACAGGTAACACTTACCCCAGTGTTGATACAGGTAATGATGCGCTCACAGCCGTTCTAAAGAAAATGGAAGAAATGAAAACGAAAATAAGGTGCTCCATGACCAGATGAGGGAGCATCAAGAAAGGGTCGATAAGATACCAGGCGCCCCAAAATTACTACCAAAACGAGACGTTGGTCGATTCGTCGAACAACCTTACAACGAGGAAGCGACTCCACATGCCATTCCCAAAACCTTCAAAATTCCACCGTACCTAAAGATATACGATGGTACTACATACCCAGAAGATCACATCATCCACTACGTCACAGTGGTGAAGGGCAACGATCTTTCGAAGGAGCAAGTACCATCAGTATTACTGAAAAGGTTTGGCGAAACCTTAACAGGGGGAGCCTTAACCTGGTATTCACAACTGCCGACGCGGTCCATAGCAACGTTCGAGGAAATGGCCGACAAGTTTGTCACCTCCCATGCAGGGGCTAAAAAGGCGGAAGCCAGTGTGAATGACATATTCGCCGTTAGGCAATCGCCTGGCGAGGAACTCAAGGACTTCCTCGCCTGATTTAACAGGGTGAGAATGAGTCTACCAAATATATCAAAAGGGATGGCGGTAGCGGCTTTCCAGAACGGGTTGAGCAGGAACGGGTCGAGGGCAACCAGAAAACTATTAAGCAGGCTCATGAAATACCTTCCTACCACTTGGGAAGAAATCCACAATGCCTATTGCGCCGAGGTGAGAGCCGACGAGGACGACCTTAATGGTTCGACCCAACGGCTGATGTCAGTTCAAGCAGAATCAAGGCAAAATCGTCGTAACGACGGTCGAAGGGATCAGTCGGGCCCCCGTCTCAACTAAGAAAGACATCAGCCCTATGTTAGAACAACCGTCCCACCGTCTCCTTGACATACGGAAGAGCCGCCTAGGCCGCATAGAGGGACTCAGTGAAGTGAAAGAGGTATGCCTCCACTCTTATCTGCTCATAATTTTTTGTGCTTTCCCTTCAGAAATAGTGTACGCACTAGAGAAGCTTGGCACAAAGGTGAAATGGCCACAAAAGATGAAGTCTGACCTAAGTACTCGGAAGTCGAATGTCCTCTGTGAATTCCACCAGAAGCGGGGTCACAAAATCAAGGACTGCATAGCTCTACGGCAAGAGGTAGTAAACATGCTAAACCAAGGGAACCTGAGGGAATTGATGAGCGATCGCAGACGAGCTAACTTTGCCCGCAGACGTGAACAATACCATGGACCTCCAAAGCCACCCTCCCCGGCTCGCACCATCCAAATGATCATCAATGGAGGCGATGAAGCAACAATCAACCATGTGAAGTTCACCACTACACATAAATTTAAACGGTCGATCACCCATGAATGGTATGACGACATCGGAGACAGTATCATCTTCGATAAGTCAAATACCGACGGTTTGACTTTCCCTCATTTCGATGCTCTTGTTATTACTTTACGTATTTCAGATACTGATGTAAGAAGAATAATGGTAGACGACGAAAGCGGCACGTGTATTATCCACCCTCAAGTCCTCGCACAAATGAGACTCGAAGACAAGATAGTA